ATATATATATATGTAAATAAAATAAAATTAAAAAATCAGATAACAGACATGACCAGGTTCACTGAAGAGCACTGTGCTTCTGAAGCCTGCAGTGGTGGAGACATTTATCAAAATTACAGTTGAGACTATAGTAAACAGAAAGATTACTTTGGATGAGAGAAAAATACCATGACATTTTGTAATTTCTACACAGCAAAGTTACATAATTAAGCATTAGAGAACTTTTTGATGCTCATATCCTTCAGTAAGAAAGGAACAAAAAGAGGAGTCATATTATTAAACCAGCAAAAACACAAATTCTGTGTAACTATCAAATCTCAGCATCTTACCATTGTAAAAGCTGTTCACAATGAGCATCACCATACAGTGAGAAAGACCGAGTACAGTGTTGAGAGACTGAGGGAAGCCTATCCCCATTCAGCCAAAATGTGTTGACTAAAATGTGTAATTTTAGCAAACAGGAGGAAATGTGGCCTCAGTGCATTCAACTTGTGCAGCTAAGTTCTGCGTTATTCAAGTCACTTTGATGTTATGCAAATAAAAATACTTAGGCTTGAAGGCAGAAGTTAAATTCACTTACTTAAAAGTTTGGGGGTTTTCTGTTTTTTTTTTTTTTTTAAATACAGAAGCTTCTATTCAGCAAAAAGATTGGAAAGCTTTAAGGCTTCACAAGTGCAGCACTTCGTACCACATGGTCTTGCAGTGTATCATGACAGATCTCCATGCTCATGAGTAAACTAAAGCTGAGCACGACTTAATCAGACATAATAGAACCTGCTATGAAGGTAAGAAAATTTCCATAATGCTTTTTCAGCAGACCTGGTAGGTACAGTAACATAATGAGTCAGCAGGAGAGGAGCTCCTGCTCAAAACACAGGGAAACATCTACCAGAAGTGAAAGAGCTGCTGACCATTCAGTTGCATGTATCCCAGAATAATTGTCTTGGTTTTTTTGATTTGCATGCATGGGCTATCTTTAGTGAGGCAGAGCAGCCTCTTCAGGGAATTTCTTCAGGACTATTTCCTATGAATACTTTGTAACCCACTCCTTCCCCTCTCCCTTCCAATCAACCTCTACTTGCTGTTTCCTTTTTGGTATGTACTGGAATCACTGCTGGTTGAACAGGATCAGACTGGTAAAGCAGCCAAGGAGTAACAGAGACAGATATGCTCATTGTTCAAGACAAAGAGCAGGTACATATGCTGTAGTTTGATACCAGTAACAAAAATCTCTTCCCCTCAACTAGCTCGGAGAGATGTATTTAACTGCCACTTAAGAAAGGCAAAATACCTAAGTCACATAATACAACTAAACTCTCAGCATCTTTGTCTAAGAAGGATTTTAACCAGAAGAGTTGCCTACCTTCAGGAATATTACTTAAGAAAGGCAAAATACCTAAGTCACATAAAACAACTAAACTCTCAGCATCTTTGTATGAGAAGGATTTTAACCAGAAGAGTTGCATACCTTCAGGAATATTAAAAAACCTTAAGATTCAAGGATCACTGAGGATAAAATAGCAAATGCTACTTACAATTAGCAAAGCATGTTTTCCCAAATAAACACAAAATTCAGTTTTAAAGTGGCTGTCAAAGGACCACAATGTGGATTCACTGCTCTGCATAAAGGTATACCAAGGTGCACAAACTCCAAACTATTATCGACAACACATTTCGAACACTTCATAAGCAATTATGAGATGGAAGCAAAACCAACCAGATAACCAGTGAAAAGTAAAGTGACTACCACAGAATTCTAAGTGGCAAAACAAACAAAATGACAAAAAGTTTCTATGGACCATGCAAGATATACTGGCTACTAAAAGCCCCAAATTGTATCAAGATTTATTTCCCAAAGTATAAGCCAACTTTCCTCTCAATGCATTAAATAGTAGCATTATACAATAAAACAGTTGTTCCTGCAATCAGCATATGCTACTCTGCTCAATCTGGTCACCTACACATATCATCTAAGTGTGCATAGACAGATGGGAAGCTCCACAAACTGCTTAATCAGCAGCCTGAAGGCCTCTAACGAGAAATTCTATATGACATTTGAGAATTATTGTAAATTTTAATGTAGCAAGGTGTTTATCTAAGAGCATTTAATTTGTGCCTAAAAGTTATGCCTTCAATTTTGACTTATTTAATACATTAAAATACAATTTATGTCAAGTAAGAGCAATGAACATTAGGCCCAAAAACATTAACAGATAAACATTAGTAATAAAGGCACACTAATACATAAAAATAGCTGCTACAGGGCTAACGGAGCTTGTTCTTATTTGCAAACTTCCTCTTTACTACTGTTTTGTTAGTAAGTTAGTGCACGTTGCTACCAACCTCAATACCACTTTGTCTTGCTAGTTTTACAGCTGTATTGTAGTAGCCACAGCGTAAAAGATGTTCCACCATCATACGATCCATACGTTTCTTCTTCCACATGTTTGCAGCAGCTGGCTGGTCACTACTGTGCTCTTTCAGATGTTCAATCCTACGTTTGCAGAGTTTTGCACTTTCATCTTCAGCCTGGATTGATTCAACTGCCTAAAAAGTAAAAATTAAGAGGAAGAAATAGGAGCTGTACATTTTCAATTTGCTTTTAAAGCAAAAGACATGTAAAGAATGCTTACAAACAATTCTTACTATTATAGAGTTACTCCTGACAGCATTTCTTTCATTTAGAAAGACATTTCCTATGGCAGTGCACAAGTTTAAGCGTGGCTGGTTCAGTTCTGAGATATTCTTGCATATAATTAAGTTTTGACTTATTTCACATTACAAGTATAAGCATTTTTCTGTTTAATGCACACTTAGTCTGAAAACAGCAATGTATCAACCACAGCAGCAACTGCTGTAATAGTTTGCAAAGAGCTTTGTGAAGGTTTGCAGTCATCTGGTCCAGACAGTTGAAAATCATGAATTTCCACCTCTAACCTATGCATGGCTTCTTCCTCAAGCAGCTGTCCTACTGAATTAGTTCTGCTGGGGAGTGATGCAGAGCAAACCCACATTACATTTAATACACTGGAGCCATTTTAATCAGTCATGCAGTAATGGAAATTATATAAACATTTGGCCTCTTAGCACCTTTAAATCAAGGATCTTATAGTAGTTTTTAAAAAATTATCAGTTTTGTTATACTAGTTTTATTTTATTTACCTCTGCTACTCCGGAAGCAAGGATTTACTGTTAGGAGCCTTACTTAGGAAAAATAAATTTGTCCAGAGGAAGCAGAATGATTTTTTTTTTTTTAAACCAACATATTGGCATGCCCAGTGCAAAACACACACCACTAAATATTGCCACAACGTTTTTTTGGTTTGTTTTTGTTTTTTTTGTAATTACAAAACAAACATTCAAGTCATACTTACTTTCCTTCAAGCTTAAAGATATATGGCTGATTAATTATGCTGCAAATTTTACTGGGCAGTTTTTTTACAGACATAACGTAATTCAAAGCCAGCTGACTCAGTATATAGCACGTGAAAATTGTGGGTCACGTCAGGCTACAGAACACGAGAAAGCTTGCAGTGCTTTTAGATTAAGCTTGCTAAGGTAAAAGCAAACCAGAAGATGATGGAGGTTTAGCACCTTTCCCATCTGTGATGCAATTTCAGGTTGGGTTGCCTTAAAACTGACTTTAAACTCACTGGCTTGTGCTTGAATAACTGCACAGCCACGGCAACAGGAAAGTCCATGCAGGTTTGCCAGTGAAGCACAGACCAAATAACCTGGCTGGCTTTTGGCAGCCCACTTTGCACTCCGTGCTGGCACAGCTACTACCTTCCCAGTGCTCAAGCTATTCAGGCTACAGAATCCTCTTCAGATAACAGCTCCAGCTCTGGAAGCACAGGTTGGTTCTATCTGCTTTTACCATGCACACTCATTTACAGACTTCTTCTGGAAGGATCAGTATTTGTAAAGCAAAGTGAAATAAATTAAAACTTTTGCAAGAAAAGCCTGCCAAGCATTTGCCCTGTTAAGTCTGACTCTGATCTGGCCCTTAATACCAAATTCAAGTATCTAAACCCCTAGTCAGTCTTCATATAAACATCTGTAGCCTGAGCTATTTTTATTACTGAAGTCTGAATTAATTCTGTTACTGAATGTAGCTTTACTTTGTAACATATGGTTTGGAGATCAGTATTTTTTTTTTAAGTTATAAATTGAGTCTTTTCCCATTTAGCAAGCAAACACTAACTCAAGCCAAAACTCACTCTCACTTGTTAGATGTCTGCAGTATTATCAGATGAGAAGGCAACCTTGACAATTATTCTGAATAAAACCAGGAGAAATCAAGGCAGCCAGGTGCAAAGGTTGAGCCCTTTCTCATTCCAAAGGGCTCTCCTTATACAGTTTTGTATCTGGACTTACATAGCTCTTGCTGGTTTTTGATCCTTCTAGTGTACTCAGAAAGGCTACAGAACCTTTTCAAGATCCTCTGAAGCAAGTCTGTCTGGACTTGCCCTGCTGGACATTAATAGAATTTGAGGGAACAAGCATATCAAACAGGATACAAAAGGGAAAACACAAAGGCCTAGGTTTCCCTAAGACCATTTTCAGAACCCAAGAAACCTGCTGTGTTGAAAAGCTCTTTTTTAAGAGTGAGTAAGGTATTAAATAAAGGAACCATCTAATTCTATTACAGCCATCTCAGCAGTTCATCAGATCCTTGTCTAAACACAGGAGGAAACAGATCCCACAGGGGTCCAAAGGCCCTAAAGAAAACAATCATTTTGCTCGGGGCAGAGATTATGGAGAAGACAGATGGAGTTGAGGGTTTGGAGCAGAAACAAGACCTTTGTATTTCAGAAGACTTTTATTGTTAAACAGACTTTTTTTTTTTGCCTTTTGTTCTTTCTGAGCAGCTGTAAGAATCCCCACAGTCTTTCAGACAGTCACAAACAAGTGAGCAATTACACTAAAATGGAGCCTTGCACCCAAAACATTCAGCAATGCCTTCAGACACACCCCCACAGTCAGCAAAGATTTAACAAGTAAATAACTTACTCCTCCACATCATTACTACACACCTACAAGCAAAACCAAACACCTCTTTCAGAACAGCAGTAATTTCTTTCTGTAAGTAACAGAATTGAAGAAAACATATCCTTCAAGACATCTTTAAGTCTCACAAACCAAAGATGAAAACAGCAATTAGATTTATGAAGTCTTTTACAGAAGAGCTGTTCAACACCTAGCTAACCTGTTCAAGCAGAAAACCCCAAATCAACAGACATGACAGTGTTATTTTCATGTTACGCACCTCCAAGGTATTTTGACACTTCGCTTAATATAGTCTCAGATTTATATCTGTTGGTTATTTCATCCAAGTATTAATGAAATGACTCTGTTACCATTTGTTTCATCTATTTTTGGAGAAGCACTGCTCTAAAGCCAGGCGACAGAGCTATTTTAATATTTCTGCAAGATTTGTTTCAAGTAAAAGTTCTGATGAGTCTCAGGATGAGTAATATTTCATACACAATAAGGATGGCTTATACTATATAGTTTATGTTTTCAACTCATTCTTCTCAAAAAGATGTGGTAAAGGCATGGAAGTTTCGCTGTATTTCATACAATCATTCAAGCTTAACAGCTGGAAGCAGGTTATCCTGCTAAACTTTGTTTAAAATGCTTTTAATAATATTCCCTAGGAACCTTCCAGTGTGTTTAGTGATTACAGAAAATGTTCAAGTTTAATGATTATAGCAAATGTTCAAGTAACAATCCAGGACAACTCATACTTTCTTCTGCAAAGAAGCCTCAACACTGCATATAACTACCTCCCTTCTGGGAGTTAAACATTTTTCAGACTTATCTTCTACCTGTTTTTGTTCCTCAAGTGATCAATTAACACAACTACACAAACCTTTCCATTAGACAAGTGGGAATTGATACCAATCAACTCATTTTTGCTACTATTTCTTTTCTGTGGGTAGAGAAATTCCTTTTCAGGACTATAAATACATATTAATTTTACCTCTCAACAGAGGTTTGTTATACTTAGTCATGGAACACCAAGTCATGTTTCATAACCACAGTGAAGCAAGATACAGTAAGTTTGGATGCTTTGCTGTACATTCTAAGGCCTTTGTTTACAGTGCCAGTAAAACCTATACCTTGAAAAGAAAATCCAAGCAAAGAGCATTGCAGAAAGCTACTACTTTGTTGAGTACATTACTTGTTAAGTAACTTTGTAAAGACAAAGCAATCACAAGGTAAAACATCACTTACCTTTCGTTTCAGAACACTGAGTTTTTCAACTACTCCATCCAGAAGACTAACAACTGAATCCACAGCAGGACAACTGCTCAGCGTCTTCTCCAGCTCTGCCACAACCATTGTAACGTGGCTAGTCTCTCGATCAATGTTCTTCTGTGCAGCTCGAAACCGTTTGTTCAGCGTTTCATATGGCACCTAAATGAGAAATATCAAGTCATTAGAATTTCTATACTAAAAAAGTCAGGTCTTCTAGAGTTTAAAGAGACTAATGATTTTATGTGATGCAGTCAGAAGAACACCTAGGGTCCAGGACACGAGAGGTCATTAACTGAACCTGAGTTCTCATATCAAAGTCCTCTCAGCAAGGAGTTAACACTTCAAAGTTTATGAAAAAACAGTGACAAGAAATAAAAGCTGGTAGATTCCTTTCTGATACTAATTTCACCTACCCTACACTACCACTGTAGCAAGCACTGATAGAAACAGTGTTCAGGGAGAACAGAAAGCAAACACAAATGTCTATCTAAAAAAGGGAAGCTATGAGGTAACTACAACTAAGAGATCACTCTTCAGAACATGGCTTTTTGAGTTTACATTTCCTTCCTTCAGGAGTTCATATAATAAAAGTTACTTTTGAGAAAAAGCATGCATACTGGCTACTGGAAAATTTATACACAGTACACCAATGGTTATTCAGGAAATCTGACATAAGACATAATAGGTCTCCTACCTACTTCTGCCCATGAAGGACTACTTTTTAATATTAATTCCAGTAGGACTATAATGAATGCTAAGAGAAACTCAATGTAAGTTTTCTTTTGGTGAAAAAAAGCCTACACTGTATGACTAACTTTGTTAAATTCCTCTAAGGTTCTGTTCCTTGGCTTAGAGACAAACCAGTCTTGGAGGTCTCTTCTCCATGCCTTTATGGGACAGCCATATCAAAACTGCTACTGATGGCCATCCAGGAATGGCCATATATGGGAATAGTCTACAGTCTGGTCAAATTTTAGGGTACGGAATGATTTGGGGAAAGCTTACAGTAAATGTTAAGTTGCTCCCATCATGTTGCTTCCTCTCTAAATAGCTTATGCTGTCACTGTAGTGGAAGTTCTATTACTTCATGGCAACTGGAATGTTAGAACTAAAAAAATTCTAGTGTAATACACTTAATTCAACCATATCTTTTATCATGAAAAAGTCCATGAGAAGTTCTTTCAGGTAGTTATGATAATCTTGATTGCTTTTCCATTAATCAAAGGCATAATTTAGCTAGCAATCAGATTACATATATTAAAGGTAAAACAGGAAAGGAAATCAGTGTTCTGTTTGGTACATATCAGGTATGTGTTTGATTACAAATCTTTCAGGTATATAACTTCTCATCAATTATATTGATATTGCCTCCATTTTCTTCCTTCTGATTTGAATGCAAGAAAGCATCCCCAGGGTCCACTCTCCTTTTGGGCTCTATTAGGAGAGCGGTAACTACATCACCATTGCAATTCACAATTAGAGATGCACTGAGAAACAGTGCAGGTTCAGAGTAAGGAAGATGAGCCAAAGTACTTGCTTTCCAAGACTTTGTATGACCTACAACAGGTTCTTGTGTAGTAGCAGAAGTAGAAGTATAATGCAAAGATACTCCTGATAAGATATGAAAGGGTTCCTCTTCCTCTCAGAAGGACTGAAATGTTCTATTTAATGTTTTTGGCATCTCAAACTAAGACCTAAATAAATGACAGAACAAGCCTTTACCACAGGAAGTATTAAGCTAAAACAAATATCTTCCTTATACATTCTCCCCGAAAATCCCAGCACCACCCCCACCAAAACTCAAACCACATAAAACATCACAGTTAATAGGGTTCAGTACCTACTTAATTTATCTATATAACCATCTTTTATCCCATCTTTAGCTTTTATTTCCCTTCTCTACTTCCACAAAAAGGATAAAAGGTTTTAAAGCCCCACAGAGAGAATGGGTGTTTTGGGGGACTATGACATCTCATGCTTTTGAACATGGAAGCTTGTTTCCAACTCCACGACTTGATTGCAGACTACATTAAGATGATTTCTTCCCTTTTTTTCCCCATGCATTTTTCTTCTTATTAATTGAAAAACCTACTTCCTTCAGTTACCTGCATTTACTGAATTTAATTTCTGCAAGTACTCGGCTAATCACCTTTCCACACTACACTGAAAAGCTACATCAGTCAACCCTTTCAGAAGCTACTATTGATTTGAGATATCTGACTACAAAAAGCTTTTTTGTTAAATTTTAAGCAGTCAGTTGAACTGGAAACACAGATCTAGTCAGTTTGGAAAAAAATAATCTAGCTTTAATCTCCCTTCTCCCTAGTTTCTTATCCGCACGCAAGAGCAATAACCATTCCTCTTTCCCATGCTCTGTATCTTTAGCGTGCAAATTTCTGGCACAGTGTGTTCATATGACATTTAGAACAATCAGACTTTCAATTTCAGCTAGCATCATTATATAATTTATAATGTGTCTAGGTGCAATAGGTTTTTTTTAATCTTGTTTTATCTTTTTTTTTTCCCACTCCAAAAAAGATCTGAATCTCCTGTGTGGGAGAGGCTAAGAGTTGAACTATTTTACTATACACTCTGAAAGTAAACACAAATAAATATATTGCTAACCATAATCTCAGCATACCCTGACAAAGGAAATTACTGTAAAGGTAGGATTAAACTGTTTGCACAACTGAAGCTGACAGTAAATCCTCTTTCCCAGAGTTTTTCATAATTTGCATAGGCACTTGTTTCTCACTACAGAGCCAGCAGTTTCTCAGAGAGCATCTGTAAATCGTACCCAGGTACAGCTTTTACACTTCACTTTACAGAATTAGATTCTACAAATGACAACATTTAGAAATTGCAACCACTACATTCCTTACTGAGAAAGTATCTTATCTAGACTCTGCATCTTGTTCCGCTGGTTCTTTTGTTACTTGTACAGCTCCTGTGCTCCAAAAGAGACTCTTGTTTCCCAGCACTGTTTTGCTTTACCACAGAACTCTTCAAAAGGTACAAGGCACTGTACCAATAAGCTGTTTTGTTTTTGTTTTTCCCCTCCAATAATGAAAGTAAATGGAAGGAGAATATAACAAAACAATGCTCTGGAAAATGTAATTCTAGAAATTCTTAATTACGGTTCACTTTAATTTTTAGGTACCATAGTTATAAAACAGTGTACACTAAACTTTTTGGACCAAAAGACAGCTGCAAAATTTACATATAATTAGCTCCCACAAGCCTACTGGAGACTTTCAGTTTTTACTGCCAGTACCATTCTATAACTAAGCCTGGATTACACTGCTGTTCTTTAAGGACACAAATGACCTTGCAGAACTCAGCCTAGGGAAACATTACCTTCATGAAAAATTGAAATAAAGGAGCAAGAACCAACCAGAACATAGTCTAACTGTAAAAGCACAAAACCAACTTGTCCTACTCATTAAAGCTTGAAAAACCACATCTCAGTTGGCTCATACCATGAGCATACAAGATGATAAAAAAGAAAGATATAAAATATTAGTGGGCAGCACATTTAAAACCAGTGTCACAAGGGGTAAAATTAGAGTAACACAGGTTTTTCCAAGATCCAAATTTTGCTACTGTGATGTGAAGGAAAGTCTACTTGGCTGGAGGCTTCTGCAAGTGTAGCAAGACTGTTTCCAGGTGCTAAGTGCTAACAGAGAGGCAGAGAGAACTGAATAACCTGTATTTTCGAGTATTTTCTACATTGAAGAAAATTGAAGTAAATAACGAGTATTTTCTTCATTGAAGGAGTTACTTCACTCTGGTTTTAGAAAGCCAGAAAATGCTGGTGTGTTGTCCCAGAACACGCACCAACAACCTCTAGCTGTGGAGACAAGACTTAGTAGAGGATCCTTCTGGGTCTAAAAGCTTGAAGTGTTGGAAGAGGAAGAAGGACTGCCATGAGAGCTGTAATGTGGTTGCTCGGTTGAGTGGAGGGAGTAGAAAATAGCAGAGCTAAGAATGTCAGAGGCAGTTTTTAAGCTTACACTCAGGAAACAACTGTGCTGTTCACTATCCAGCCTTCAGCCTAAACACAGTCCTCTTCCAGCCCGTGAATGTAAATGAGGTACCAAGGCAAGACTCACTAGTTCTAAAACCATAAAGTGGTTAAAACTGGTCAAATTGTGCATCTGTAGGTAATATTTCTTTTAATAAGCCATATCAAATTTAACTTGAAATACCCTTAAATTTAGTGAATTTAATAATAATACTAAATATATTTCCATCAAAATAATTTTTTCAATATGCCATTCACTTACTAAATGATATCATTTTCTTGACTTTTCTGAATACATACTAAAACTAGAAAAAAAACAGCAAGTATTAAATGCTTGCATATATTGTATGTTAGCAAACTGTATAAACTTCCCACGTGTATATTATCAGTTTGTAAAAGAGTATTTAAAGAAATATAAATAATATCAAGTTAAAGCAGTCAATGCTCTACACAGCATCCTACAATGCATATCTACCTTTGTTTTTATATTCTTTATTACATTTTAATAAGAGTCTTTACTTTTCTTCTTAAGGTTTTCTAAGTGTATCTATGTGCACACACTCAGTACTCCATCCATAAATCAAATATATAGAAACAGACTGCTGATAAGTACTCTCACCTCAGCCCATGCTTTTCTCTACAGGCACAGAGAGAATTATCTATAAAAATACATGCTATGAGAACATACCATCTTTAGCCATCAACAATACAGAAAGGGAAAGCAGAGTGCAGATCCTTTTCCCCTCATAGAAGTTCATTAATTATAGTGATCAAAGCTTAAAAAGCTCCGCGGCCTCAACGGTATTTATGTTGGTGGGAGTCAAACAGTGAGACTGGACTTCTTATGCTGGTTTTAGCACCTTGAATTCCACTAAGCAGCTTAACGGCATCTTGACAGTGTGGCAAAGCTTTAGCCTCCTCACACACCTGCAGCTTCCATGGCAGACACAGTCACTCATTCATTAAGCACCGGGGGTTTCCAAACAAAGTGAAGACCTACACTGTTGAAGGGCTCTCTGCTTGGGAGAAAGTACAAGATAACAGAAGAAATACGAGTTGTGGTGAGATCCTCTTTGCAGAGGTGTTATAGTCCTCCAGCCATGATGAAGGAAAAGCATTCTGAGTCACAGCTAGAAATACAGCACTCGTTACCATCATGGCCAACAGATACATCCACTTTATTAGAGCAGAGTTCAAACTATCAAGTAATTGTAATTACAAGGGCTTCACAGACAGATGAGCAGCATAAAGAAGATGAAGAAAAGCATCTACAGAATTGAGTTTGTGACCTAGCAATAAAGGACAACAGAAGGTCTCAGTTCTAAATGCCACCTTCTCTTTACCAGTAAGGTCTTCTCCTAAGCCGTCCTGATCAGAAGGGAAGGAGCTCACTGATGACACTGTAAAATTGCTATCATCTCTGAAATATCATGGTGAAGAAGGAAAGTTCTCAATGACTGAAAATTATAAGTTTCTTGCCTCTCTTCCAAAAAGAGAATCTAGAAGATCATGGGAACTACAGGCTGGTCTGCCTTATCTCAGTTCTTGGGAAAATTATGAGGAAAAAAAAAAAAATCAGATGGAAGCCCCTTCCAAACTCATAAAGGTGACAAGGAATAGCCAAGGCTAGATTTGCTACAAGCACATCAAGCTTGACAACTTTGTTTGCTTTCAGTGATGAAATGACAACCTCTGAATGACAGGAGCACACTGGCAGTCTTTCACACACAGTTCAGCGAGGTTCAGATATTGTCTCCCACAGTACCCTTGTAGCCAAACTGGGGAGATGTGGCCTGGATGGCTGGAATACAACATGGGTTAGGGACTGACTGGACAGCCAGGCTTAAAGAATAGTGGTCAGTGATTCAAAAGCTACCTGGTGACAACTTACAAGTACTGCCTGACTGCAGAGCAATGTTATCAGCTCCAACATTCGTGTCTTCTTCAACCATCTGCACTATGGAACAGAACATACAACAGACTGGTGGAGTGCTTGATAATGCTGGGTGGTAGAGCTGCCATTCAGAAGAAATAACAAGCCAGAGAAACACATCAAGAACTTATGTGATCTCATCTAGGTGATCCTGCTCCGGCAGGGGGATTGGTCTAGATGATCTTTTGAGGTCCCTTCCAGTCCCTAACATTCTGTGATTCTGTAACTTTATGAAATGCAATCAAGGCAAAAATCAGAGCCCTGCACCTGGCAAAATACCACCTAATCCATTAGCACAGGCTGTGGAATAACTGCCTAGGAACACTTGTGGAGAAAAAAAGATGTAGAGGTTCTGATGGACAGGAGGTTGGACATGAATCTGCAATAGCCCCTTGTGGCAATGAAAGTTAACCACATACCAGGCTGCACCAGCAAGATTAAAGGCTGTGGGTTGAGAGGAGGGATTGTTCTTTATTCCAGACTCTTCTGGAATACCAAGTCTGGTTTTCAAGTCACTTCCCCCTCACCCTCTGCCCCACCAAAGAAGAGATGTTGACAGACTGGGAAGAGTCCAGAAGGCTGCCACCACAATAGTTAGCTGGTTGGAGGATACCAAAGACAGACAGAGAAGGGCAGGGTTGTTTCACTTGCAGAAGAGAAGACTGCAGGGAGCTGGGAGCAACACAATCTGATATAAGTCTTCAACTACCTAAAGGTGAAGGTCATAGATAAGAGCTAGCCAGACTTTTCTCAGAGTTACAGAGTAAAAAGGAAGGACACAAAGTTGACAATCAGCAGCAAAAGAAATTCCATATCGGCATAAGGAAAAACATATTTCAACCAGGAGGGTTGATAAGCACTGAAACAGCAGCCCAGAGAGGTGGTGGAATCTCCACCCTTGAAAACTTTCAGAACTAGGCAGGACCCTGAGCAACTCAAATTAGCTTTGAAGTTACCCTGGATTCAAGCAGAAGCCTGAACTACACCGTGTGCAGAGATCCCTTCTTACCTTAATTTTATGAATTAATGTAGAAAGAGACAGGATCACAGATACACATCAAATTCATCTTCATAAGAATATATGAATGGCTGTACCAGGTAAGACCTAAAGTCCCTCATCTGTCACTACCCTTTCTCTGACAAGATCCAGAAAGGGGATGGCACTTGAAAAAGGCAAGAACATAAAGTTACTAACCTCAAATAATCTCTTCGGGCTTCTTGAGCCAGAGGTGGGAGTTTTATAGTAGAAACACCACAGGGTGTTTCTCATCCATGAACTGTTGGTTGCTGTTGACCTGTAGAGTTTTAGTACTGCAACATCCTGTGGCGAGACATTTCACAGCCTCACGCATTGTATGAAGAAACAATTCTTGGTTTTGATTTGTCAACTGTTAGTCTAATTTGACACCCTTTTGTTCTTATTTTGGAAGAAAAAAAGGGAACATTTACTCTTTTTTATGCCTCTCATGTCTCTTGAGATTGAAGAGGGTCTTTGTAAACCATTATTTGAAGACAGCCACCCCATATCTCTAATCACTCTTGCCCTGCTGTAGACATTTTCCAGTTCTCCTACATCCTTTTTCAGGATGAGGGAAGGGAGAAAAATCAGAGTAACTCACACTACTAGAGAGAATAAGAAACCATGGATTTTCATTTCTACATAATGAGGTTCTCCATTCTTCTCTTTCCCAACACTTTTGTCCCAAGTTTGTCAACATTAACCTGATCATTTCCAGAAAACATTCACTATAACCCCAAGATCTCACTGAGCAACGATGACAATTTCCAACTCGGTTATTGCATAAATAAGATTAGGATTTTTTTTTTCTTTCCACCATACCTAAAACCTGTATCACACTACACTTGTCTACACTGAATTTCACCTGCTACTTCAATACTCATTCAGTCTCTCATGATTCCTCTCTAACTCTTCACACTTGGGTTGTACCTGTCATACCTCAGTTATCTCAGTGCCATCAAGGAAACTGGATCATCTCAGCACTCGCTCTCTTCCAGGCTGTTCAAACACCTGAATATCAGCAGTACTGGCAGAGACACCAGCAGGACCCTAACACCAACCCTCTTCCATTACAGAGGCTGGCTACCAAACCGCCATGTTTCTTTCTTATCTTGCCCAGTTACCTATCCACATAAGGACTTCTGTCTTCTTTCTTTCAGTAGTTCCTGGTAGGGATATTAAAAAAAAAAATCAGTAACACCAGTAAACTATCAACTAAATCCACCACTACCCCCTTTTTTTTTTTAACACAGAAGTCCAATATCTTTGCATGGCATGACTTTCCTTTTTAAAAGCCATATTAACTGAATGTAAATTATTCCATATTTTATTAGTCAGGATAGTATTTCTGAATCAATCAGGCATTGGTTGGAAGGGAAAAAATCATAGAATCATAGATTGGCTTGGGTTGGAAGGGACCCTAAAGATCACCTAGTTCAACCCCCCCTGCCATCAGCAGGGACACCTTCCACTAGACCAGGTTGCTCAAAGCCTCATCCAGCCTGGCCTTTAACACTTCCAAGGAGGGGACATCCACAACTTCTCTGGGCAACCTGTTCCAGTGTCTGACCATCCTCACAGTGAAGAACTTCTTCCTAATATCTAATCTAAACCTCCCCTCTTTCAGCTTAAACCCATTTCCCCTTGTTTTGTCATTAACTGCCCTTATGAAAAGTCCCTCCCCAGCTCTCTTGTAGGCCCCCTTCAGGTACTGAAAGGCCACTAGAAGGTCTCCCCAGAGCCTTCTCTTCTTCAGGCTGAACAGCCCCAACTCTCTCAGCCTGTCCTCACAGCAGAGCTGCTCCAGCCCTCGGATCATCCTCGTGGCCTCCTCTGGACTCGTTCTAACTGGTCCATGTCTCTCTTGTGTTGGAAACCAATTACATGTATTAAGAACCTCACTAAAATTTTACTTAAAAAAGTAGAAGCGCTGAAACTAAGTCTTCTGCCTTGTCTTTCTTCCACAGCTATAAAAAAAATCCTCAACTACTTCAGCATTTATCAGAGAATTTACAGAGAGTTAAGGGGAAGAGTGGACACAGGAAAAGGATTTTTTCCTAAACCACATAAGTGTATTTATTAAAAATGTTACATTGTGCATTTCTACTCCTTTAGAGGAACAGGGTCTTAGGCCAAAGTATAATGGTTCCTGCATGAAGCTTCACATACCAGTCTGAGGCTGCCCACAAGTTTTCCTAACTGCTACACAGTAATACTGAAAAACTGAATTGCACGTGTTTCTTCCATAACTAAAGTTTTGGGAAAATTTAAACCTTCATCCTCCCACAGGTCTTTAGCCTTACACTAGGCCTTTAGCACACTAGTTCTCAAACTGATCTGGTCACATTCTACAACACAGACTGGATTCCCTCTTCACTTATGCAGATTCAAGCCTAAAGAATTCCAAATAAAAATAGAAACTAAAACCCAAACAATCTCTTTCAGACCACAATATTAATCAAAACGAGTTTCTGTCCCACAGTGACTGCAAATAGGAAACTAGTTCAGATGTAGCAGAAAGAAACAGAAAGTAAAAACCAGTTTGTACAGCTATGATTTGGTTGTTGTGAATTGGAGTAAGTGTGATACTTCAAAAAAGTCATCACAATTGAAGGAAGTATTATTTGGTGGTAAAAGACCATTCATCATTCTACAGTCTCCTGTTAATAGGAATTCTCAACGGTTTATTTTCTAAAAACTGATTTTCACAGAAAACAGTATAGACAACAGAAACAAGCACCTTTTACACAGATTTGCAATTTAGTAAAAGAACAATCAGATTTCCTCTTGTATTTGGTAGAAAGAAGTTAACCAGGTCTAACCTGACAACAGTACCAAATCATTTGCAGGGAAGTTTTAACTATACATCCTGGATTTACTGATGTCTCTGTGAATCATCCTTCCTTAACATCACAGCCTCACAGCTGAAAGCAACTCCTTGCCACAGAAAGTGTAGAATTTTTTAAACACAAACACACCTACATTGTGTATCTTTTCCAGTGAACTGAATCATGGACAGGAGGGAATTTGAAATGGATTTTTAAGTCAAATAACTAGTGGAAAAGAAAAAAAAAACATTTCAAGAAAAATAAAATAAGAGTCCTACCAGATTAGGTGGGGGGAACCATTACAGAACTACGCTCTCCTTTCAAGGGTCAGAAAAATGATGTGCCTCCTCTCCTCAATTGTGTTAGCTTATAACACCTGAAAAGCATCAGAGATTTGTATGAATCTACAGGTCTCCAAGATAATTCAGTTGAAGACTTTCTGAGGTATAAACAAACCATATATTGTGCCCTTATATGAAATTAAGCCTAGCCACAGATAGGTAGGAAAGGAAAGTGAGAAGTGCAATGATGAAACGGTCTTTTAAAGAACAAAACAAAACAGAAGCAAAAACAACCTAGCTCTACTTTATGCAAGAGGAAAGAGGAAGTATGGGAATACAGAAGAAAAATTAAGCATCTCCTAAATAGTTTTAAAAAACAAACAGTGTCAAGAGAAAAGGTAAATGCAACAAGAAACACCTTTGAGCATTAAGCTGTTTCCTTGAGACTAAATTAGATCACCATGCTCACCTTCAACAAAACAGAAAAGTAGAGGACATCCATTGTACATGATGCAATTTGAAAAATGAGGCAGGACACGATAAACTATTACAAATTTTCCCTCAAATCAGTAACAATTAAGCGTTTCCATACAGAATTACTGAAATTCTGTATTTTTACAGACTTCCTCTGTAACTCTTGGATTATTTCAGAACTGAGTCAGCATCATTACTTGTCACTGAACTCATCCAAAATGTAAATTACATCACTGCTTATTCACAGAATGAATGAATTCTTCTGATGTGTAGCTCTTATCAATCCCTTGAAATAGTAATTTTTTTCCTTGTTCTAGGAAAAATCAGAAAAGGAAAAGAAAGTTAAAATAAAGGAAAAGTAGTAATATTCCAGGAATGAAAGGCTCAGAAAACAGTCAGATTTAGGTTTAAGTAGGCACAAGCATTAAAATAAACTCTTGGAGATACAGATCAAAACAGACATAATAATTTCATAAGCCTAAATGCAGCTGCAGATCATTTGTATTTTTTAAAAAACCAACCAGTTATTTTTAAAAACAGTTCCAATGTTTCTGAAGTGTAAAGCTAGTAGTTTTCCTTAGTTAAAACATGTCAGTTTTCTGACTCAGGAAGACAGTACTGCATATTCTAGAGCAGCTCTGTCTAGAAAGAAAATATCATTATAATAGTCAAAGCTGCTACTTCAATACAGGAGAAAATTAGCATTGAAAACTCTTGGACTATCCATCTGCTACACAGGTACTTACTCAACAGAAACAATTATAATCCTTCAAAATATTATTGTTTACACAAACTGCTAGTAACTCATTACTGAATACATTACGAACTTTTGAACAAGGTTTCCAACAAAATAAAGCACTTTACATATATAACTGTCTTGCATCCTTATGTAAGCAAATTGACAGTCATTTGAGAGTCCTGCCCAGAGCCACACTAGAGACATCAGAGACCCAGCATCTTCACTACACTTGTGCATAGCTGCCTTCTTGGACTCATGCTTCACAAGAAACTTCTTTGCTTTTCTCCTTTCAGTAGAAGTATTTGAGGACTAACAAAAATCTGAGCGTTCCTCCCTGTCTGAAGAAGCAGTTGAGTTGCTAAGCTAAGGTCACACAGCAGGTTTGTGTCCTGACCAAGTCCCTCCGTTTGTTTTGATCCTTCTTTCTTCTCCAAATATTTGTTCATTTTAATCACAATATCACCTCTTTAAATGAAAGAGGTCCTCGTCCTCCTGTATGTTTGCACAGTTCAGACACCATGATACTGGCTGGAGCCTTTAGGCCAGAGATCTCATTTCCAATAATTTCCAACCTATTCCAGCTGAAGTGACAGTATTTCTCCTAAGACAAATAATTAAGGATTATTGATTCAGCAGACCTATATCAAAATATATGAATGACCGAAGTTCTGCTCAATATATTATCACTTTTACTTTAGTTCTCACTAGTTTACAACTCAAGGTAATCCACAAAGCTCTCTCTCTCTCAAAAAAAGTTGAGGTGAATCAAAAGTAGGTTGTGAAGCAGTCAATTTACCAGCTATCAAAGTAAAGATACCTTAACAAAAGCTTGCTTTACTTAAATAAATACTGTATTATACTGTAAATACTTGAAGCACAGGGACCAAATGAATGGGGCTGGGCTCTTTTCAGTGGTGCCCAGTGACAGGACAAGGGACAATGGGCAAAAATTGGAACACTGAAAAGTTCCAGACAAACTTCAGGAAAAAATTCTTTACTGTGAGGGTGTCAGAGCACTGGAATGAGCTGCCCAGAGAGGCTGTGGAGTCTCCTTCTCTGGAGAGTTCAAAACCCACCTGGACACTTTCCTGTGCAACCTGGTGTAAGGAACCTGCTTTGTCAGGGGGGTTGGACTGGATGATCTCCAGAGGTCCCTTCCAACCCCCACAATGCTGTGTGATTATAAGTAACCAAGTAATACAGCATACCTCACATTCTGGGTTAGCAAGCACCTCCTATATAGTGTATCTTCAGGCTGTAAGCTATGGGAGGGCACGTGTACAACGAAGGCAGGTTCCTCAGTTTAAAAGGACTGATGGATTTTGCCAGCGTGCCCTTATAGCAAATATCCACCTGCCAAACCAGTACTTTCCTAAACCCATGAGCCCAAAAAGTGCACTATTAGGCTGATTAATATAGGAACTACTGAACTGAAAGACTATGGGAAGAGGTTCAGAGAGATAAGAAAAATTGACACTGGGTGGTCTACAACATCCAGTAAGAACTGTGCTCCTATCACACTAAGTTGTGAAGCTTTTTCTTTGTATTATGATATCCGCAAAATGTTTGAAGCACATCTTATTCCTGTTTCCCAGCTCTTGAAAAACATTTACTATGCAAAAAATCAAAGACTTCACAGATATTCTTGCTTTATATCAACATTTAAAGACCCCAACATGTTAGTGACCTTAGAAACATATTATTTCTATACCAGAAAACTTACACAAACCAAACTCACAAGATCACAGGGCACCGTCCTGTAAAAACACTACAAAACAAGTATGTTGCAAACAGGAACTGCAATATCAGACAAGAATTCCCTTTGAAGATACTAACAGGAGGTCTTTGCAAAATGTTTGAGAGTATTTTTCTGGAAGTATTTTCCTACAGACATAATGGAGTACTGATAATCAAGCAACATCTCTAGCTCATGGCCACACTGTTACTTATTGCCTTTTACTGTGTTTTCCTCCTTCATCAATCACTTTAAAATGGGTTTTATAGGAAGTAGGCAGGGGTGGAAAAGAGACCAATTCCCTCAGGAGCCAACTCCTACTTCAGCTGCTTTCTAATCTCAAACTTCTTCTGAAGTCCCACAGTATTGGATTTTTCTTAAAACACAGCAGCACACAGAGCCCTGTGCAGAACAGCCGCAGTACAAAGGTGTCACACTTGCTTGCTGACATGCACGCGTGATGTGTCGAAACAGGAAGAGCATTATTCAGCAGCACACAAATGCTCGGTATGGACACTCAATGTACACTTGGTGAGTCACAACTCCCAGACTGAGGATGGATTTAGCATGAGATATGAGTGTTCACACCGAGTTAGCACAGAGCTGACTGTTACCAATATCCATATTTCACTTACTGTGTCAACCTTCTACTTGAAAAGCACTTCAGAAATCAGGTAATGAAGTGCCATATATGGGGTTTTTTGTACACTGATGTACTGACAGTGCATTAGATTTACAAGTCCTGTCACTTGTCCTTCTCAAATTCTGCCTGAACCATTTTCACTGAACAACTTTTGCTGCTATATGTTCAAAGTTTTGTCAAAAGCACTCCGTGGCTCATAATATCAAAGTACAAAGCTCCGTTCAAAAACAACTGATAGTGAAGCTTATAAACAGGGGAGAGAATAAAGTAGTGCAACCAACTATGCACGAATCTTGCACCTTTTCTGCTTCAGTGGGAAATGAAGTTGACCTGAACTGTTTGACATCTTCATTAGTGACCCAGTCGATGGGTCAGAGTGCACCTCCGAAGTTTGCAGATGATACAGAACTGGGACGAGTTGTTAATATGCCAGCTGGTTGCGTTGCCATTCATAGGCGACCTCAACAGGCTGGAGAAATGGGCAAGCAAAAACCTCATGAAATTCAACAAAGGGAAATGTCAAGTCCTACACTTGGGAAGGAACAATCACATGCACTGGTACATGCTGGATACCAACAGCCTGGAAAGCAGCTTTGCAGAATAGAACCTGGGCATCCTGGTGGACAAGCTGCCCCTCAGACAGCAACGTGTCCCTGCAGCAAAGGTGGCCAACAGCACCCTGGGCTGTTTTAGGAAAAACATTGCCAGTGGGCCATGGAAGTTGATCCTTCCCCCTCTGCTCAGCATGAGTTACATCCATCCGGAGCACTGTGTCCAGTTCTGGGCCTCCAGACCAAGACTGGAGAGAGTACAGCAGAAGGCCACAGAGATGACTAACAGACTGGAGCACCTGACATAGGAAAAGAGGCCGAGAGAGCTGGGATTGTTTAACCTTGAGAAGAAAAGGTTTGGGAGAAGCCTTATCAATGTGTATAAATGCCTGATGGGGGGAGTAAAGAAGATGGAGCCAGTGTTCTCAGCGGTGCCCAGTATAAGAACAATAGGCAATGGGCACAAATTGAAATACAGAAAATTCCATGTAAACAAAAGACTTTTTTTTTTTTTAAATACCATAACAGCAGCCAAACACTGGAACAGGTTTGCCTAGAGAGGCTGAAGTCTCCATCTTGGAGATAATTAAGACCAGTCTGGATATGGCCCTGAGCAACCTGCTGTAGTTGACCCTGCTTTGAGGGGAGGCTATTGGACCAGACTGTCTCCAGAGGTCCTTTCTAACCTCAGCTGTTCTGTGACTCCATGGACTCAGGACAGAAACAACATATGCTTCATATAATCCTATTCTCTTATCTGTTCCCCTCTTCAGCAATCAGGTAAACATGGTATTTCCATAAGAAATTATTATCTTATTAAATCTGCTGCCAATATTTCCCCTGTCACAGCTGCCAACAGAAGAAGCCAAACAGCAGCTCTGAGAAGGTGCTCGAGTATTCTGTGCTTCTACAGCTCTCCTTCTGAACGGCTGTTTATTAAAGCAGTCGGTCCAGC